TTACAATCAGCAACAGTCTTTAGCTAATTTCTCCTACTATATTTCACGAAAAATTTTTTCTCATTTCTCATCATTTTTCTGGCTGTTGTTCTTAAAGTTTTTTGATTTTTTTGCCAACAAATCTGCTAAAACTGCAGTTTGACTAATAAGATTGTCAGTTAAGGCTTTATTAAAACAAATAAGAGCTTTTTGAACTTAAACTTTAATTTTTTTTTCGTTTTTGTTCTCGTTTTTCCACATTCTTTTACCCAAAATTTTCACAAACTTCAACAAGTTACACTTAACAGTGAATTCGCGAAAAAAGTTTTGGTCATTACTGGTCATTATATGCCAAGTTTCAGCAAAACTGTTTCGCTAGAAACTGTATACGGAAAGCTTTGCTCCACTGTAACACACGAAATCTTAGCGTCAGTAAAAGCGAAAATGCATAAAAAATTCATGGAAAAAAAAAGTAGTGATTTCATATCAAAACTTGTTGTTTACTGAAGCTTACATTGAAGTTTGTTACTGATCTAATACCCTTTAGATATATTTTGATTGTACTAATATTGACGAAGACCCAATAAACCACACAGTTCTTTCACGACAATATATTCTTTCGATTAAACTATACGTGAATACAGAACTACGATGAATACAGAACTCAGAAGTACTTTTCAACAACCCCTAATTTTTTATTACCGTCAACGAATAAATGAATACTGTTTCTGCTAAAAAAGCAATGCAGTACAGTTTATTCTATGATATAAAACAATTTATTAGTTACACGATGACACTTAATTACATGATGACACCAATTTATCATTCCGTAACTTCTTCTTCAGGTTATCGGAAACCGCCGACCACTCCATAATAACACCTGTGTGAGACGGTTCTAGAAGCTGACTGCAAATTCCTGTCATCAGGTTACCTTCATTGACGGTACCTTTAGAAAACAATACTTAACAAGTAGTTTCTAAAAGTGAAAACAAATGCTTTGAAGAAGATAACAAATAAGCATGAGTTTATCTTAGGTATGCCACTTGACTATATGAAACTAAAACATTTTATAGTCGTTACCCGACAGAAGGTAATCTTTCCCTATGCGAAGCTGAATTCCGCAAGCTGATGCCTCTTTGAAAGTGTAGACGGCAGTCGGCAAGCTACCTTTAAATTTTTTAGGCGCCTAAATTGAGCAATATTTTAAGCACTAAGCTGAATTGCCAGTCAAAAATCATCGCAACTGATTTAAGTGAAGTATACTTTCTGCTCAAAAAGTTTAAGATTTAAAAAAACCTTGAATATTTCGATATGTTTAACATCATATCGAAAGTAATCTGTAGGCGGCCTAAGTCTCTTCTTTACATCACTTAAAGAGCTGCCACGATCAATGTGTACATGACATACTAAAACAGTTGAATCTTTGAGAAAACACACATTTTAAAGAAAAACACAGGTTAAAAGTGTGCTGAGAAAGAAGGCTAAATAAAAAGTAAGAACCAGTTATCAACAGATTTCGTAAGTAACAGGAAATATTCATTATATTGTCCAACATGTGATTACTGCTAGTTATTAAGTTTCAGATGCAAAAGATAAAACTTTTTATAAAAGGAAAATAAAGCTGACCCCAATCTGCTCTACAGAAAGCTTTCTGAGCAGTTACCTTCGCACAGCTGCAGGCCGCTGTGCTCGGTAACAGTATCTCAAGCAGGACCACTGACAGAAACAGAGCAGTACAGCGGTACTTCATTGCTGCTTTATAATGTTTTATCACGATAATTATTTGTTTTCTTTCGTCTTTTATGCTGTGCTCACCGCTGAATAATTCAATCAAAGAAACAATTATTATTTGACGAAGTAGACGATGAATCGTCAATTAAAGAAAAGATAGAAGCTGGGAAAAACTGAAGAAGCAGGTTGGGACATGTGTGAAGTTAAGGGAGGTAAAGAAAAAACGGTTGAGAAAGACAAAGTTATAATAAGAAGAAGGAAAAAAAAGTAAATAACAAAAAGCCTAAAAACTTAAAGCAAGCGACGATAGGTGTGTTTGAGCAAAAGAAAAAGCCAGGCAAAGTTAGACTAGAATAATTTAATTGCTTCTTTGCATTTTCAACGTTTCCTATTGTCCATGGTTTCCGTTTCTATTCTTACCCCCATCTTCTCTCTCTCACCTTGTAACTCTATTACAATTCTATTTTTGCTAAAATACAAAGAAAGCAAGATCAGCGCAAACATTTAGGAATGGATTGTCTAACACCAGCAGTCGATATTGCCGTAAGAAGAAAATGCGGTAAAGATTGATAGTATCACACGATACAGTAGTTGATTGTAAAAATATAGTATGAGTAAAATATGTCAATAAAATTATGCTCAAGGCACCCAAGGTTTTGTCTGATGTTAAATTTATTCCCAACGCCATTTCGTTTTGACAAAAGAATGGTAGTAAAGTAGGAGCAAGAGAAAAAGTGAAGTTCTTTGTTGTTTTTGGCAACTTCTCTGCTATATTGTCTCTTTTCCCCATTTTATGTTACCTTGTCATTAACAATTCAGAGTAAAAAAAAAAACGGAGTTGGGTGAATCCAAAAACAAACAAGCATTTCTTATTCCCTCTGTTCTAATTGACGAAAACTTTCAGTGATTATTAACTATTACTATAGAAAAAAAAACGGAACAAGTCCTAATAAAAAATTGATGGCATCAGGCTTTGAAAATTATAATAGCAAAAGCAAAAGTAAATCTTGCTTTATTTTGAATTAACAATTGCATAACCATCAAGTGTAAAAAATAACAAATTTTGACAACTACACCGTTCAAACCTGCCAGGCAAAAGCTTGACAGTTATACCTGGCCAAAGATTTGTAGCAAAAGTAAAGGGTAAACGCAAAAAGTGAAAGACCAGCTGAATACTACAGTGCGAAGTAAACGTTCAGATTGAGAGATTGATCAATCGCAGTATCTTTCGAATGGTGTTTATCATCGCTCTCCAGCAATCACAGAGACTGTTTTGAAAAAAAAAAAAAATTTGAAAACAAAAGCAGTTCAAATTACTTTCTTATAGCAAGGGTTACGCGTAACTTTTTTAGTACAAGAGCAGCAATTTTATGCTTTGCTTAGCCCTTTTTTTAACACCTTCTGTCGAAAAAAAAAAACTTTTTTTGCCATTTCTCTTCTTTATCAAACAGCTGAAACAAAGGGGATATAAGCTCAGATATATCTTTATCGTATACGTAGAAATGTTGTCTTTTTTTACAATTTTCTGCACTCTTTTTCTCGC